GACTGGGTGACCCACAGAGGTCCCTTCCAACCCCGACCAGTCTGTGATTCTTACACCTACTGCTGTCATTGGTGTCTGGGTTCAGGCTGCAGCATTCAGCTCTGCCGCTTGCAGGTGCAGGGATCCTTTTTCTGAAATACCTGCACGACCTAGAGCTCTGTCAGTAAATTTATTCTCGAGGGTTCCTTCCCAAATCCGCTGACAGCTGATGTGTTGGCGAGTTACGTGAACGAGCAGGGCGAGGCACTTGCTTACCGTCCCTTCGTAAGAAAAAACACTGAGTCTTGGGATGAGTGCCTGTCCTTGGGAACTGCGTTCCCTTGGCATGTCCTGGGTCCCAGCAGTGCTCTCGCACACTGCTTGAATAAATAGACTAGAATAAAGGTGTTGACTAGCTCCTGCTACAGTTGGTTTTCGACTTGGTGTTCCAGTTGGTGTTTGTCACGTTTATTTGCTACAAAAAAGGGGATACTGAATAACTACACTTTTGCCAAAGTGGCAGAACGCCTCCTTTCTTTGTCGCAAGACATTCTTTTTGAATGCCTCTGAATTCAGCGTAGCCTAAAAAATACTGGGTAGGTCTTTTGTAATCACAGTTCACTCTGCAAGTCTGAGAATGTTATCAGACCTGTTTATTTAAAAAAATAAAATTGTTCCAACTGTGACTTACACCTGCTGGCTTAGTAGTTTACTTACAGGGCAGTGCTGCCAGCCTGTTCCTTTGCAACTGCAATAAAGCTTCTACAAAGTAGGCAATTCAAATAGAATAAAGTGTTATCAAAATAAAAATTTAAAAAACCCTACACATTGTGGGTATGTGAACAGATGTGATTCCGAGGCATGCATGGCTGGCATTTTTCTGCAGTGTCTCAGTTTGTTGCAGATCAAGGCGATTCAATACAGTCTTCATTTTTTCTTCCCATCTTGAAATTTCTGAAGACCCTCTTTTGTATTTGTCTTCCAATTAGCAATTTATCATTTTGCTCTGGCTACTATTACTTTTCTGGTAGTTAGTTTCTTTAAAGGAACTATGACCATAAGCATGAAGTAGTTCTTTGAATTACTGTCAGAACGATCGGTGTGCTGTTAACTTGTAGCTACCATTCCTCACAGCCGATAGCCAAGCCAGGCTGTACTCCAAGCTCAGAAGAATAGAGATCTTTTAGGTGTCTTTCTAGAAGGACAAAATGGTGATGAAAGCAAAACCACATTATGCCTCGTTTCAGCATTCTCCTTGACCAGGCAGCCCCTTTGTTGTCCTTCACCAGCGGGGTCTGGCACTGAGCGGAAGGGCTGCATGCTTGGAACGTGGACGGAGCTTGCTTGGCTCCCTCCTCGAGTCCACGCCAGTTGTGGGGCAGGTCCATTCAGCCTTTACGAGCCCGAGCTACTGCAGAGTGGTGGAAGTGGAGCAGAGGACGCATTTGCAGCAGTGAGCATCTTACTGGGGCTGCCGAGTCTCCGTCCTCTCACGGGCACAGATGATACCAACTCTGTTTCAGAACAGCCTGAACAGTGTAGAGTAACTCCTCAACTTCCACCGTGCTGTAGGCATTTCAGATACTGAATTCAGGAGATGGGTGCTTCAGTGTGGCTTCCCCACTGTAGTTACAATTCCCTATGCTTCTTGTGGCAGGAGAGCATGACCGTGCGGTCAGCTCTGGGGGAAGGGGTGCTGTGGAGGTAGCTTTGCAGGTAACTGTTTACCCCATGATGGATGAGGTTCCTGGAGCTGCTGTCAGTGAGGACCTGTAACCTGTTCCCTATGATTCTTTTGTGTTATGAGCTTCCTGGCTTTGGAATAATGTAAGTGTAGGTCATGTCCACTTTGGTCTCTGTGCCTTTTAGAGGATTTTTTTAGGAGGCAATAAGAGCATGTGCAGTTTCCTTTAGTTAAGAATTCCAAGGGCACAAAGTATGTGTGCGCCTACAGGTAGGACCTGCGTTGACCATGAGGTGGAATTCCTCTGGGTTTAGACCCATGGCCACGTTGCAGCCCATCAGTTGATCGTAGTAACAAGTGGTGTGCACAAGTCTCCCTTGAACTTACACAGAGCCGTTTGGGGTTGAATTTGAACCAGTCTTGTGTTCAGTGCAAGGAGAGGTCACGTACGTGGGTAACGAGGATGAGTCAGTTGAAGTGTGACAGGCTGAGCAAACAGCATTTAGGTTCAGTGATTCTTACTCTGTTGAGCAGTGTCCCAAGTGACTGGAGAGGAGGGCAGAATGTTGGGTGAACTGGTTCATGAAAGGAAGAACGTTGCTGCTTGCAGCGACTGTTGACTAGAAGATTGCTTTTAAAAAAAATTGATGAATTAATGACTTGTTTCTCTTTCTTTTTTTAAGTATGTATAGAAAATATGATTCAACTAGAATAAAAGCAGAGGAAGAAGTCTTTTCAAGTAAGAGATGCTTAGAATGGTTCTATGAATATGCAGGTAAGAGTGAAATGCAAATTTCCTGCTAGTAACAATTTAATTTCTATTGGAATATAAAAAATGCATTAACTGAGCTTTTCCAAGACTGAGTATAGAAGCTTTTTTGTAAAAGTCTTGAAGAAGCTTAAAGAAGTTCTGTGTAGCATGAAGTTGAAGAGTTCAAGGGGCAATTTTGTCTTTGTCTCTATTCTATAAAAAGAGTACAGAAGGTGTGTAACTGAAAACATTTTGGAACATGTGTACTTTACTATGCAAATCTACAGCTAAAGCTGTACTTCTGTCCAAACCGTTGTTACCTCTCTGGCCTCAGAAGTTCTGTCATCTGCCATGTTAGTGCTGAATAGTATGGAATTATGCTTCAGGAGAAGTCAGTCTTTTAATTAACAAAAAAGGTGGGGGAGGTAGTAACATGTGGTTTGTTCTTGCTGAATCTGGTGCTTATGGTTTGAAGAAAGCAGTGAATAAATTCAAGTATCCCATACTAGTCTTGTCTTTACACAATTTTCTAGCACAAGGTACATTGAAGATAGACTGAATTATTTATTCTTGCCCCTGTGTGTGAGAACTTTCTTCAGGCATTACTTCTAGGGTTGGTCATTATGGTCTGTGGTCACAAAAGATGATCCTTTAATAGTGAACTTGGTCGTTGTGCTCATTTTTCACATGTGCCTTTCTGAAGGGGAGAGCTTGAAGTCTGGGGAGAAGTGATCTCAGGACTGTAAAGACCAAGAGGAAATGAAATAGGTGATTGACAGAGAAAATAAGGTCATCTTGCAGTTTTCTGATGCTGTCTCAGATAACATTGCTCACAGCTTGTTCTGTTTTGTCTACTTCTTATGCATAACGAGTAGTGATTTAATTTGATGTAATAAAATAAGGGTTTTTTTCTTCTAATAAAATTATAGAAACTAAATTAAATACTTTGAGATCTCGCTTGTCTGTGGCAGTCTGAGAGAGGAGATTCAGACAAATTCAAGCCAGTTCTAACCTCTTAGATTCTCTGCCTTTCTGACCAGCTTGATTTATTTTTTTACTCTAGCAACAGGGATAACTCATTTTTGTCAAGACTTTCATGGAAAGAAGGGATGAAAGGAAGGCTGTATATGATAGAACTTTTGGGTTTCCATTGGATGCATACACCAAGATAAAACAGAGAAAAGCGGAGAGTATGATTCTGTTTATGGTATTGAGTAACATGCTAAAAAATGAATTTTTAAAGAATAATCTCTTCTGTGTTCTTGCTTCATAAGTCTTCTTTATATATGCAGATGTTTGACACTGCATTTGTTTTTTTTTTTTCCCTAGTGTGTCTTTACATTACAGAATGAGTCTTTTTGAAGACTGTTGTGTAGACTCAGAGAACTGTGAGAGGATGCCATGACAAGATGGGAAAAGATATAATTAAACCTTGTTATTTCTAGAATAGTAGGCCACCTAATAATAAAACATAGATAGATCTTCCCTTTATAACACCTCTTTTTCCTGCATATGTGATCTTTATATTGGATGAAAGTCGGCATTTCAGCCTCTCGTGTTTTTTTCTCCAAATGAGTCCTCTTAAACATGAGTAAAATAAATAGTCCAAATACTTAAAATGTACTCGAAAGAACAGAATTGCACAGTACAATTGTTAATGCCTATATATTTTTTTATAGAGTATTGTAGAAGTTACACATATCTTGATTTAACAGCATGTTTTAATAGTAGCGAGTTTTAATAGCATCTATATTTTTGAATCTTTTTTCCCTTTAAGTTGGCAAAGAAAAATTTGGCAGTGAAATAGCTGTAATTCATGTTCTCCTTCCCCTGTAGTTACTAAAATTCAGATAATATATGGCCATAGTATAGCAATATGAATAAAAAGGAGCACGAGATTTTTGTTTTAGGCTCTTTTTTGTAGGTAACATTATATAAAGATAGTATATGAGACAATAAGGATGAGATTCTGGGAATGATAAGGTCTAGTATCTGGTATAGCTGTGCATCAGATTTTTATGTGATCTGAACTTAGGAGAACAGTAGAGACTCCAGTCAGGAACGGAGTTTCAGTAACCATCATCCACTGGTTTAACCATGGCAATGCGATGTGGACGGTCTGCTAGTCCTAAGTGCGTTCTCAAAGATCTTACTAATTTACTCTTCCGAGATTATCTCAGTAAATGGGCAGAATAAAGGACATTGTCAGGGATGAAAAGCTGCCTTAGAGTTTTTCTGTCTCTGTTCCCAAAGGTGAGATAAAGATTTCAGTGTATCCAAGTCTGATAGTAGGTGTGTAAATATTTATTGCATGTCAAAGCAACCGACCAGCCGTATGGAAGTTCACGTTGCACTGCTGTTGTATTTCTCTTGTGCTGTAAAGGTCAGACTGTTTGAATTTTCAGAGAGAAGTAAAACGTGTTTTGTTTGCAGGCACCGATGACATTGTAGGGCCAGAAGGTATGGAGAAATTTTGTGAAGACATTGGAGTTGAACCGGAAAATGTGAGTTCAAAGTCCATTCAAAAGATGCTTAATCTGTTATGATGTACCAGAGCCAGTCTTGTAGCTCTTGTTTTTCTATCAAGAATTAAAAAATTCGTGGGAGTTTAAAAAGAATTAAAGCAACACAAACCAGAGAGGTTCATATACAAATCTGGCAAAGACTTGCTTTTATTTTAACCCCCAAACTGTAAACCTATAAAACCTCAGTTTGTCTTTGCTGCCACTCTTCCTCTTTCACTTTCCCACCCCCAAAAAAGAGATTTAAAGGAAAAAAGAAAAAGCTGATGGTTATCTTTTCTGAATCAATGAGACAATACTGGAGATTTAGTTAATGGCAATTACAAAACTACAGAGTAATGTTTTCTTTGGGTTTTCTAGGAGAGAAAGGGATTTAAAGTATTGTGACCAATATTAGCACTCCCATTATGCCATGTCAGAACACAAATAAAGAATATATATAATTACATATATAAAAAATATATGTATGTATGCATAGAAGTAAATAAAATTTAAAAAGGAATAGTTGTGCCTTTTACAGGCTTTTTCCTAGTGCCTAATTTTTGCTCTTTAATTCATAAAGCATCATCTCTGACTAAGTAAAATGAGAGTTGTGGTTTTGAAAGATTTACTGGAAATAAAAGATGCAATTTGCTAATTTTGCTGTTTTATTAGTAGAGTTTTATTAGTATAACAAACCCTTGAGATGTATGCAGGCATTTGGGTATATTGGTAGCTATTCTGATTCCAGATTAAAAACTGTGTAGAGCTGCAGTAACATTAGCTAGCTAGTGGCTGAGTTGCAAATTTAAATGGCTTGATTATTTTCTTTTCTCCTAGTCTGCAGGGTCAGTTGTCCTGCAAGTTTTTCAATATATCTATCAGAAGTGGTTTCTTAAGTTCCTGAATAAAATCTTACAGTATCGCTTTATCTAAATTCTGTATTGCTTCAGTCTCCTGTGTGAGATGTGAAAAGGACTCAGTTTCCTTTTGGGCAAAAACTGAATTATTTCTTCCTCAGCCTCTATTTTGACGTGTGTTAGTGTTAGTTCACTAAGCTTTGCTTAACATCTGCTTGAATTACCCTGCATGTTCAGACCTGCAAAATTCAGTAGGCTGGCGGTACCCTGGGGTAGCTGGATTCAGGGGGGGTCATTTTTAGCTTTGGAATAAGTGGATTTCACAGAGCTTATGGAGTGCAACTGATGTTCATCTCGATGAGAGTTTAACCAATGTTAAATGTAACTTGTCATCAAATTGGTACTTAAATTTTGTAGTCTTCTGGGAAACCTTTTCTGTAGCTTTTGCACCAACTCGTCCTCCTCATTGTGCTGCTCACCAGATGACCGTGCATGCTCCCTTGAAGTAAGGTGGCTGCTGGTAACTTGGGTGGGTGCTCACTCTGTGTCTTTGCCTGTGATGTTTCTCTTGGTTTGGGTTGTGTAGCTTTGTCACTTCAGGTTTCTTAACTTCTAAAATAGTGTAGCAAAGACGTGAACATCCCGTGTATACGAGTAGAGCATTTGCAGCCTACTAAACAGTAGTTGTTTGAAAAATGTGTGGATCTTTTCATTAATTCTTTTCAGTCTTCGATTTTTTTTTTTTCCTCTTAAATGCAGGTAGTTATGCTTGTACTAGCATGGAAGTTGGATGCACAAAACATGGGCTACTTCACGTTACAAGAATGGTTAAAAGGAATGACATCACTACAGTAAGTGCTTTGAAAAACCTCTTAAGTTTGTTAGAGTAAACCCATTTTTTTAGAAAAACCACACTTTGTTTTGACTCATAACACCTAAAGCAGAGAGCGTTTCTGTCCCCCAGGACACGTGTATTTGTTACTGGATTGGACCTGTCTGTTGGACGTTGGTATGTTGTTAGAGCACGTGTAGTTCAAAATGCTAAATAATACAAACCTTTTCTGTGACTCTGCATGGTCACGTTATTTCTAAGAGTTGCTCTCTCCAGTTGAGAGCTTATATTCATGGCATAATTAACGTAAATGTAGTTGAATAATCACATGTTGCATAGTGAGTTGGAGAAGGAACTGTGCTTTGACTGACCTTCCAGAAGAGAATTGCTGGAACTGTGTAGGCAGCTCCATAGTTTCAGCACAGCCATAGAAGCTTTGGTTCCCTGCTGTGGTTTTCTTGATTGCCGTGTGTAGACAAGCTCTTAGTTTTAATCTGTTGGAGAGTGCATTTCCTACAAAGCCAAACAGATTTTTATTAGAGTAACAGTGTAAAACTTCACGGTTTTATCTAAACCCTTTTCACACTGTGGGTTTAATCAAGGCATTTTATGTAGCCAAACTCACAAATGTGCCGCTGTAAAGAGTGATGTAAATTTGAAGAGATGGATGGGGATACGTGTTAGAGATTCTTTTCTAAAACATCAGACATCTGTGTAAGAAGGCAGGCTCTAAATTCCCTTTGTGCTTTTCTTGTAGATGTGATACTACAGAAAAATTGAGAAATTCTCTGGATTACTTGAGATCTTTATTAAATGAGCCTACCAATTTTAAACTTATTTATAGATATGCATTTGACTTTGCACGGGTAAGTGCTGTGGAAGACCAGCATCTGAAATTAAAACTTTACTTTCCTAAGTAATAATTGAAAGACTGTATACTTCTGTTTCTCTTAAGATGCCGCTCAAGTTTGCTTCTGACAAATGGAACGGTTTGTGTTCTAAAAAAGGACATGCAAAATGCCAGAACTGGAAAAGTGATAGGATGCTTGATGCTCAGTGGTTTAGTGTTTCGACATGTTCTGTTACCTCTCTGCTTCAAGGTGTTTCGTGACCTCAGGGAAATCATTCAGGCCCTATTCTGTTGCGTACTGGGGCTTTGCCGCTTACTTCCGCTGGCTTTGTAATTGCCCTGGTTTTTCTTCTTAATGTTTGAATTTTGGGAGCATAAACATATTTCAAACAGGAAGGCGCTTCAGGCATTGCTACAGGTGGTAAAAACAACTAACGTGATAACAGCTGGATATGATCTAATACAAATACTGGTTCAGAAGACTGCTGGAAGGTCGTTAATGATGATCTCAGTATTTATTAAATAATATCCTGCTTTCAGTCTTCCTACTATAATATATGTATTGATAAAATGTACCTGTTATTGGAACCCATAGTATGTATAAGACTATTGCTACTTAAAGGGAACAATAAAAGAACTGTAATTTTCTGAATTAACATTTTGACGGGGAATTTGGACATCCATCTTGCTAACATGATGGAATGTACAGAAGATTCAACATAAAAATGATCTCAGGCAAAACTGAAGCTCAGATTTCAGTGCAGGGGAACCAAAGTCGCCAAGAAAATTTGCAGCAAAGAAAGTAACACAAGAAAAATAAGAAAAAATTGAACCGATAGAAATTCTGATCGTGAAGTCTGTCTGAAGTGACTCGGATTTGTGGTGCATCAGTGCTTTCTGTGCGTCAGCGTGCAGAGTTTGAAACCCACATCTGGATATGGCAGAATGCTTGGTGTTAGTTAGTAGGAGAGGGGGAAGAAAAGCCCTATCGTCATCTGAATTCTTGCTGTGTGAAGATTTATTCTGCCACTTTCGTTCAACGTAAAACACAACGGCTGGGAGTAGCTAACATTGCCAGAGAAGTCCAAGATACTGGTGAAATACCTGGAACAGATTAAAAAATGTTTTCCTAGTAGCAAATCTGCGCCAGCCCATGGCCTGCCGAAAGGAAGTGCAGAAACTTCAAAAGAGGATGGTGGGGGGAATTTTTTCAAGAGGTATCAGATTGGTGTGACAAACAGTGGTCTTGACAAAGAATTTAAACCTTGAGACACAGGTGCTGTGAGATAATTTTTGACAAAAAAACCCCAGATTGTAGAACTGCAAGTCAAAGGCATATCAATAGGGAATTGTCAAAACAAGATTAGATTCATAGAATTATTGAACTTTTAATGCTGTGGAGCCAGGGCAAGTCTATAGGAGAACGGCATCCAGTAAGACCAGAAATGAATGCTGACAAAGACTGATACATTTAGATGTGGCAGATGAATCTGTACATATTTTTTTTTTATCAGAATAATTGAAGTGATTGATAGAAAAAAAGCCGATGGGAACAGTTCTGGGTTTTGATTCAGAAGATTGTGTGATTTCCATCCTAAGGGTAGGCATTTCAGGGAAGCGCTCCGTGGCAAAAACCACTTGTCTAAACTTCTGAAGTTTTAAGAGAGAATTTTTGAAAGCCTCTGTTGTGATTCAGTATTTAGTTTGTCAATAAAAATAAGTATCATCGAGGTTTTATGTGGCATGCATGAGTTAAGTCAGCATGGATTTGAGGAAATAGTTTAAAACACGGTGTGCTGGCATTAAGCACAGATACATTCCTTGCTCCCTGTTTGCCACCGTCATTGCCAAATCTGAGGAACGTTCGGGTAGATGGATGTGTTTCGTGGCTTAAACAGGTCTTTTAACTGAAATACTGGGGGGGGGAGAGAATCTCAGACTTTCTGTTGCCAATGCAAAACAAATATTGATATTTATTAGAGTTTGCTAATATGTTCTCTCCACTGTATCCAAGAAAGAGAACGTAGGTGTCTGCAGTGTACGCTAAGAAGGACACTGGAGCATCTGTCATGGCAGATGTGCCGTTAGGCAGTTGGAGGTGGGTATGGAGGGCTTAGCTGAACAATTTGTTCCCTGCAGTCGGGGAGGGAGAATGTAGAAGCTTGAACAATCTAAGGCCTGTAAAACCAGCGTGGCCAAAGTAAAGGCAGCAAAGCGGGACTTCATTAGCACTTGAGCGTGTGGGAAGAATTCAGAGTATAAACAGTACGGAAAATAAGATGTATTCTCACAGCAGTATGGTTTCTGCATAAAGGCGTTTGTGACGGAGGTGTAAACGGGCTTTGGAAAAAGGGTTAGTTTTTAGAACTATTTGATGTTGGAAATAAGTGAAAGAATTGTATCATATTAATAGAAAAACGCCTTTGCAGGTTTGCTTTTTGGCTTTAATACTAATTGAAAAGCGGAGTTTACTTTTTTCCCCTGGATCAGATTGAGTGAAGTCCCTCTTGGATTTAGTGTCCAGAATGTAAAACCCCTTCTGATGTTTTCAGAGCTGCTGGCCTCCCCACTTTCCTTCCAGAACAAATCTGCATTAAGTTGTGTCCACACCATTTTAGCGTTGAGGTGTGTGGTGTATGAAATGGGCTTCGAGCAGAGAGGATAACCTCGTGGCTGAGGCATTCAGTTGCTGTCCAAGAACTGGGATCTCGCTCTGTCACATCCTTCCTACATGACAGAAGACAACTCAGTTACATTTTGAGCTTGGTTTTTATTACTTAATGAATGCTGTAATGCACCCAGCTGCCCTTGTAGGGGTGAGGCGTGGGGCTCGGTTCCCTTTGTCTTGGGTAGCTCTCCTGCACTGTTCTGCGAGGCCCCCCCTGTGTCCCGGATACCCCTACATCCCTGGGTTTTCTTCATTCAGACTTTGCAGCCAGCAGTCACGAGTACATACAGAGAGATCGAGGTCTACGGTAGCTACTGTGGGACTTGATTTTTTGTGATTTCATTAATTCTTGAATTTGTAGTTCAGTGCTATAACCAAGGCATAAAAGGGTGTGGTTTTATGTCCCGTCTCTCACCAAAATTTAATTTCAAGACAACAAACATAGATGGACGAGCTACTTAAAAGAACAAAATGGAGTCTCACGTGTACACGCATTACTCTCGAGATGTTCAGAAGCCGTGTGATCAAATACATTAACTTTGCCACTGATGAGATGCAGCGAATCTGTTGGGTACAAATGATGCTGCTTTTTGTTAGCAGAAACAAACAAAAAAAACCAATCCCCCCTTAAGCCTTAATACACTACTGCTACGTTGGACTAAAGGGGGTCTGAAGGCACAGGCGGCGGGGTCAGGTTCTTGGGAAAGTCGGTAGAAAGCGGCGTCTCCGTGCAGCCAGCCATCAGCTGTGAGGAAAGAAGCTTTGCTAGGAAGCTGTGTTTTGTTAAAACCCACTGCTAGAGACTGCTGCTTATTATCAATGCGTTAATTTATTTTATGTATGGGTGAGCCGCAGTAGAGGCGGTGAGGGAAGCGACAGATCCTGAAATCACGCTCTTTTCTTTTTTTTCTTTTTGACCTTTTCCTTTTCATGCAGGAAAAGGACCAGCGCAGCTTGGATATCAATACTGCCAAGTGTATGTTGGGCCTGCTTTTAGGAAAAACATGGTCCCTCTTTCCAGTATTTCACCAGTTTCTAGAGGTATGAAGTTGGAAACAGAATTGCATATTTTTTTTTTTATGTCTCTCCTTTCCGATACTTTAACTGGAGGCAGAATGAAGAGCTGAGAATTTTTTGTTCTGATTTAGAATATACTAACCCCCAAAGCAGCGCTTGTGACTTGTTACCTTGCTTTTCTTCCTTTTCCCCAAATCCCTACGCTGTTAAGGGTTATTTAATGCAGGACAAAGTATAGAATGCTTGGATTTGCTTTTGGACTTACATTTCACTGCTGTGTGCTTGTCCAGTAAAGGACATTTGATTCAGAAACATGAATTATTCAACACTAGTTTGACTACTTAGTGGTTTCTTTAATCCTGTTTGTAGAATCATAGAAAGTTTTGGGTCGGAAGGGACCCCTAGAGGTCATCTAGTCCAACCCCCCCGCAGCAAGCAGGGACACCACTAACTGGATCAGGTTGCTCAGACCCTGTCCAACCTGGTCTGGAATGTTTCCAGGGATGGGGCCTCCACCACGTCTCTGGGCAACCCGTTCCAGTGTTTCACCACCCTCATTGTAAAGAATTTCTTCCTTATATCCAGCCTCAACCTACCCTGTTTTAGTTTAAAACCATTACACCTTGTCCTGTAACTGCTGTGTCTACTAAAAAGATTGTCCCCATCTTGTTTAGTTGTAGATAGCATACAGATGAAAATAATAATTCATCACAAGGATTAAATTTACTGTAAGAAAATCTGAATTGGAGGGAGTTGAAGATACATTTCAGTAACTTCGGTTTCTTGCCTTAAGCAGCAATCAAAATACAAAGTGATCAATAAGGACCAATGGTGTAACGTTCTTGAATTCAGCAGAACAATTAACCTTGACCTCAGCAACTACGACGAAGATGGAGCCTGTGAGTACAACCATCTGTCGGTGCTCGAAAATAATCTGTTCCTCCGAGCTGAATCATTCCGGCGTCTTTTTGCAGACCGGTGTAAAACTCCGCGTCCTTTCCCGGAATGGTGTCAGATACGGTGATTCCATCTCTCCGCAGGGCCGGTGTTGCTGGACGAGTTTGTGGAGTGGTATAAAGGCAAACAGATGACATAGGAGTGGAACTGTGCGCAGCCGCGGAAGAGTCACTGTTACGGCAGTTCCGTCAGCCATCAGCCACGCGCTGCTGTTGGTGGCAAGGTGCATGCCGCTTTTCTCGCGCCGCGTCCCGGCGGCGGGGAGCTTTCGATGTTTGCTCTTTACCAAGCTAGCTGTGCTTGCTGTGTAGCATTGTTCTCTTGGGAGGCTGCTTTTGCATTTTGTATTTACACTACGAATTGGTGAACCTGCCAGCGTCTTCACTGTGATGATGTGTATATTGCTGTCTAAATTTTGTATATGTGTATAAAAAAAAAATTAAAGCTTCACCTAGGGATTATTTCTGCCGAAATGTATTGTAAAAATAATTTTGTGGCATTTTTCTAGTCACCACTTACACGTTTGTTGAAACTTGAGTTGTTTTGTTTTTCTTTTGGTCTCAAATGTAGCATTTCAGCAAATGAAATGAACAGACCGCTCGGGTGTAGTTACGGGAAGAACTATTGTCAGTTTTAATGTTGCCACTCGAGATGCCAGCTTCCGAGGGGAGAAGACATGCTGTGACTTTCTTCACCGGAATTCGCCAAACCTGACCTATTGCTTAATAGGAATGAAACATTGGTGTCTTAAAAAAAAAACTAAATATATATATATACATACATATAAATATAAAAACAGTGTAATAGCTGTACATGCCACAGATGATTTGCATTTGAAGAAAAAAGTACTGACTTTTTAATGTTAAAACTGCGGTAGTCATTACAGGTACAAATGAACAAATTAAAGTACCTTTTGAAAATGGGGATTAGACGTCCATCAGTTGCCTTTGCCGTACTCCTGTTCATTTCTGGTGCCCCAGGAGTGGTGGATCTGTGAAATGGGAAGTTCTAGCTAAAAGGGGTGGTTTGGGGATAAAGTCTGCTCACCCCTAGCACAGATGTAATAAAGATTTGGGATCTTTTTTTTTTTGTTTGTAATGTTAGTCTTTTCCAGGGTCTCTAACTTTGTGTTTCTAAGTAATTAAAAATACAATATTGAATAGTCAGAATTTTTTTTTTCTTTTCCATGCTGGGGATTGGGATTTCCCAGCGGAACGCCCATTGCGGGCAATGGGCATATTAAACGCCAGCATGAAATGACAGTAGTTTTTAATAGGGGCCACTGCCTATTTCACTCATTTCTTTATCTGTAGAGGACAGTTCTGATGATAATTTTGGGGGAAAATGAGTGACTGGAATGACGTTTAAGTTCTGTAGTGTTGCCATGTTGTCTTTGCCTGACCCTTATGTATTAAGTAATGTGGCATCGATTTTTATAAACGGGTCATTGAAGCATTCGGTGATATGAAACTTTGACCCCTGAGGATTTATTAAAACGTTCCACATCGATTCACGGAACATTTAACAAAAAAGGGCCAGTGGATGTTTTGGAACGAAGAATAGCATTGCTCCTCGAGAAGTGTTTTACAAGGCACTGGCAGTTGTTTCTCTAGAACGCAGTCCAGGGGAGGGAGGGGAAGCGGTTTAGGGTGAATGGGAAACATTCGGCTGTCTTGAAGGTCCTGTTCCGCCATCGCTGGAGTTGGGAACAGCTGGCGTTAACTTGACTGCTGTCAGGATTAGGCCTAGCTTAGCAAAAGCACCTTAGTTTAGCAAAAAAGCACCTAGCTTAGCAAAAGCACCTTAGTTTTGCCGCCCCAGACCGGGAGGATGGAACTGTGGTGCTACAGGGGTCAGTGGTGTTCAGATGCGGGTGCTGGCGGGTGTTGTTTGTCAGACTCCGCTGCCAAAGACAGCGTGTTTGTGTGTGTTTGCGTATATTTGTGTATAGATAAATACACAGTCTGCACGTGTATACAAACCTGAGAATTCCCTGATGCTAAGAAGAAGATACTGCCTTTCCCCATGAAGTAGGTTGGGGTTTCTGCACCAGTACAGGCTTGGGGTGGACCTGCTGGAGAGCAGCTCTGCGGAGAGGGACCTGGGTGTCCTGGTGGATGACAGGTTAACCAGGAGCCAGCAGCGTGCCCTGGCTGCCAAGAAAGCCAATGGGATCCT